GTTCTTAAGGTTTCCTCCGCCTAAACCAATCTAAATATCCCGTCAGTTGTACTTGGTAACTTCTGAAGCTCATACTTGCTCCGTTCTGCCCCATCTCGTGTTCACAGCACACAAAAAAACAAAGATTCAGCAGTGTCTATTTCTCTTTCTCTAGCCTTCATCTCGAAATTCTGCTTCAGCAACAACTCCTCTGAGTGGAAACTCATCCAGAAGAGGAAGTGGGGACACCAGCAGCTTAATAGATCCAGATACCTCATTAAGTGAATTGCGGGTAAACCGCAGTTTTTGGTTTGCTTTTAAAAAAGTCTTTTGGTTTCTTTGTAGTATACTGGAACTTTTAACATTTAATGTGACTTACTAGAAAGGAATGTGAATTCTTTTAAAAAGATGCATAGTACAGTTCAAAAATTTGAGTTGGATGTTTTAGAGCCTGAAAGGAATGAGATTAGATATTTTTTTAAATTTTCTTTCTTGAAAATTTAATGGTATTGGAATGAAAATTGCTAATGCCAAAAAAAAATGTTTATTACATATGTAAGAGTAATTCTCTCAAAATTAATTGGCTATGTTTTAAATGGAAAATATGTGGATTTACAGAGAACCAGACTGTGGGAATTACTAGTCTTCTGAGCCATTATAATATTACTTGGCTGATTGGATAGTTATCTCAGTTTTTCATAGTAATAGAAATATAGTTCTATTTGTATAGCAGAAATATTTAAGTTAATGAAAAGCTTATTTGACCATTAATTGAGTCTCCATCCTCATTAACCCTTTTGTTTGGAAGATGACAACTTAAAAATATGCTTGAATGTCTGTTTCCTGTACCTCCTGTTAGGAATGGGAAAGTATAATGACAGAAACTGTATCCCTTCATTCCTTCCTTTCTTGGAAGGAGAACTGATCCAGGACAGAATGGTGATGACTTTGAAGGTGTCATTATTGATTAAGCTCTTAGTCGGAATTTACCAGAAATTAAGTGCTAGGTGTACAGTCAAAGAAAGCAAATTCTCACCTTTAGATGCAAAGAAGGACACAAGGACAGGGGCTTGCAGCGGAGCTTGTTTTTCTTCCTTGAGAGAATAATCTCTTTGAAGGAGGTGAGATTTTTGTGACTCATTCAGCACCTGGCTCCTCATAAGTCCTCAGTAAATGTCTCTTGCATGAACCAAAGGGTAAAAGACGTATCTACAAGGAAAGGAATGAAGGGAGTAGGGAAAGTATAATACCAAAAATGGGTATGATTGATGCTGTTTGTAACTGTAGAATGGTATTCAGGGCATGTGGCAGTTATATTCTACCTAAATTGAGTATCCAGAATAGACCTTACATAACAGGACACAAGGGAAACAGACACAAGGAGAACAATATTTTCCATTTAAACTTTGGGCTATTTCACTTATAAGAATTATGGTAACACTTAGAGCAAATGTTTTTCTCATCATGTAAATTGTGTCCTCAGGATAGAATATCTCATTTGACTTTGTATTCAGACTTTGTGTTTAAACCACCCCCACATTAATTGTCAGTGACCAATTCATTGAAAGACAATTTTGTTCATATATAATTATTATATTTTTTGAAGCTTATGAATTAATCAGTATATTTTCTTAGAAGTACTAATATGTATTTTACTAGTTATAGATAAGGCATTGTGCTCAAAATTATTTGTGTTTTATGAAATTTAAAAAGTTATCCCCAAAATGGTGTGTAAGTATATATACTTAGTGTGTGTTTATATACCATATATATATATGCCCTGCCACCATTAGTTAATGGTGTTCTTAGCAGCTTTAGTGCCAAGAAAATATTTAACATTATGTTGATTACTTCAGCTCATTCTCCAGCCTGCCCTCATCTGTCCTATTTGCCCCTTTCAGAAGTTTAGGGAGATAGAGTTGTTTTTGTACTTTAATTTTCCTACTTTTATTTATTAAGTTGTATTTTCATCTGACTCCTTTCAGACTTAAGATATGTTTGTGCATGGTTTTATGCAATGGTTCATTCCTATGTCCTGCAGGATATCTATGACCTTAAGGACCAGATACAGGATGTAGAAGGGAGATACATGCAGGGACTTAAGGAACTAAAGGTATCAGGGTCCAGCCTAAGCATGCTCTGTACGCACAAATGTTGGTAATGGTGGTTTCTCAAGTTCTTTTAACCCACTGCACATTGCTTTACTAACAGTGTTTGTCTTTCAAGCATGTGCTTAACTTGCAAAGCACAGGAAAGGTGAATTTTCAGCGTCTGCTTATGTTTAAATGTTTAGTAGTGTTTCTGGAATACTCAGCAAAAGATACAGTACTAAACTTACAGTTTTAAAGACTTGTATAGTATTTGCATGTCTCTTGTGTCTTAGCCATACAGAATTAGATTGGGGAAACACCTAAAATATTCTAATATTTTTATTGAGAATTAGACTTTAAAATTCTCTCCAGCTAAATGAAAATGTATTGCTTAATTCTGTTACCAGCCTCAGTCAATACTAAAAGTGGGAGGAGGGAAGCAGCTATGAATATGTTGCAAATATGTACTCTGGAGTAAGGAACTTGTAGACATGAGGCCTATATTTTCTTTTTTTTTGGTACTGGGGATCGAACTCAGATCCTTGCGGTTGTGCAGCAGGCGGTGAAACCACTGAGCTGTATCCCCGGCACTGGCCTGTATTTTCTTCCTGTTTAAATTTTTTTACTCGTGGATCATGGATGACGTAGATATCTAGTGTCTTAAAGAATTTGGAGGTAAATTAAATGGGCTTTATCATTTCTAGTGAGGATGATTACCAGGTTTCAATACCAGTATGTGAGGTAGACATTTTGGTTGTGTCATTTGGTTATTATGTGCTGCTTTTCCTCATGTTTTGTTATGAGGATCAAGGCTAGTCTTATGAAGAAACCAAAAGCTCTCTAAATATTGTATACTGATTTGAAATCAAAATACATAACCAACTTTCTAAAAAAGTGAAAGCAGGCTGGGTTTTAGCTCGGTGGTTCCGCTGCTTGCCTTGCAAGTGCAAGGACCTGAGTTTGATCCCCGGTACTAAAACAACAACAACAAAAAACCCAGGACCAAAATGGGTGGGAAGACTTTGGGCAGTGCTTTGAAGGAGACCTAGAAGCTGCTTATAAGACCCCATGAAAGGTTGCCAGTAAACATCAGGAGACCCACAGAATTAGTTGATGTTATCTTCAGTGTGTGTGTGTGTATTGGGGAGAGAATCCAGGCTACTCCACCACTGAATTACTCCCCCAACCCTTCCTCCCCCTCCCTCCCCTCTTATCCTTTCTTTCTCTTTTTGAGACAGGAGCTCACTAAATTTCCTGGGCTGGCCTTAAACTTATAATTCCCCTGCCTCAATCTCCCAAATAACTGGGATTATAGGTGTACACCATGGCACAGCTCTCCTTTAGTCTTAAGACTCCAGTTGTCAAGATTTACTTGCCCTTTTAAGGTTTTAAAGACATAAATTGTGGAAATATCTTGGATCAAGGGGACAAATTCAGAACATCAAATACTGTCATATTAAAATTTCATATGTAATTGTATTTAGAAGGATCAAATGATTTGAAGGTATTCTTGATTATTATGTTTGCCATTTAGGGTACTTTATCCAGTTTTCTCCTGCATCTTTTCTTTACTCAGGAAAGTTGATCATTTATTAATATTACAGTGTTTGCCACATGCCATACTATTGTATAGTGTGTACTGTTTTTCAGAAAATACAGTAAAATATTATTGGAAAATGTAAGTGATCTAAAAGATCTTTTATTTATCAATTGAAGAACTGACTAATCTAAAATTATTAAAATTAATACTTTAAAAATTTTAGTACAATTAGAGCACAAAATTTTAGTACAAAATAAAAAAGCATAGTAAATCTATTTATAGTGACTGGAAGCTTTCCAAGATATTAAAAATAAAGGGGAAGCTATAGAATAAAATGTATAGTGTATGATTTTTAAAAATTTTAAAATTTTAACCATAATGATTACATTCATTGTGGGGAGTTAGTATATGTATATAACACACCTTGGGAAGTAAAAAAAATTCAAATATATTAAAAATATAAACAAAGGCTGGGGTATCATGTTATAGTTCCATCACTATGAGAAAATACCTGAGAAAAACCACCTTGAAGGAGGAAAGGTTTATTTTTGGCTTATGGATTCAGGGGTTCCAGTCTAGTCACTTTGCTCCATTGTTTCTGGGCCTGGAGTGGGGAAGGAAGGGAGGGAGGGGGAGAGAGGGAAAGACACACACATGCATACACAGAGAGAGAGAGAGAGAGAGACAGAGACACAGACAGACAGAGACTTAGACAGAGACAGAGAATAAGAGATATCCTTCAAAGGCACGCCCCAATGTCCTATTTTCTCCAATTATGTATGCCCTACTCTTAAAGTTTCTGCCACCTTCCGGTAGCCTGTTAACTTATGAATCCATAAATGGATTTTTTTTCTTTATTACTTTTATTATCATCAACAAATTAATTCAGTAGTTGCCTTATACTTGCTCCTATGGCTGAGGCCCCATCCTAGGTGTTGGGAATGCGGGGTTTATAGGGCACAATCTTTGTCCTACAGGATCTTCTCACAGGATTTCTACATAAGAATGCAGACCGCCACCACTGGTGATTTGCATGGTATGATATATGCTGGTATGATATGCTTCAGAAACGTTTTGGAAATTCAGGTTATGTAAAATCAAATAGGGAGATTGTTAAGGCATCTAGTTGATTCTCAAAAGGAATGTGTTTCGTGTTAATAATTGATTTGTTCAATCACAAATATCCTGACTTCAAGGTAAAATAGTAGAGGATAAACATCCATACTCCAAAATGGAGAAATGGGAATATAGAAAAGCATCAGGCCAAAGCAAGACCAAAACCCAGCAGAGCAAACATTAAATCCCATAGCTCCATATCTATTATCCAGGGTACATGCTGGTCCATAAATGGCTTAATGCATTCATTGCAGTCAGAACCTAACCCCTTCCTCCCAAAGGTCCCCACCTTTGAGTATTGTTGCACTAGGATGAAACCTTCAACACACGAACCAAAGGTGCTCCACTAAACTTACTGCTCTGTTTCTTCTGGAGGGAGCATGGTTAAGGATGAATTTTGCTTTATCTGTGTTACTTAGTTTTTAATCCCAGTGAAAATCTTATTATTCTGCTATTAGCCTCTCAGATACCATAATATTGGGATCATTGTATTGACTTTGCTTATATTCTTTATAAGCAAATGTTAAATGTTCCCAATACTTGTTTAAATCTTGCCCATCTCCTTAATTCTGGTTTGTGAATCATTACTAAAAGTGTGTGTTTGTATCTACTGAAGTATACTTCACACACCATAAAAATTTAAACATTTAATGTGCATAGTCAGTGGTCTTTAGCATAGTCACAGAGTTGTGCAGCCACTACTACAAACCAATTTTAGAATATCTTCATCACCCCAAAAAGAAACTTGGAACCCATTAGCAATCATTTCTCATTTATTCTTTCCCATTCCCTCCCCAACCTAGGCAACCACTAATTTTCTGTCTCTAGATTTGCCTATTCTGGACATTTCATATAAATCAAATCATACAATATGTGGTCTTCTGTGATTGGTTTTCATTTAGCATAACTTTTTCCTGATTCATCCATGTTATAGTATGTGTTATAATATGTATGGGTATTTTTAAATGGCTGGATAATACTCTATATATGGATTTACTAGACCTTGTTTGCCTGTTTGTCAATTGACAGTACCTTTGAATTGTTTCTACTTTGTTTTGTTATTATGAATAATGCTGTTGTGAACATTTGTTTAGTTTTTTTTTATATAGCCATCTATTTGTTTCTCTTAGGTGGATAACTAGGAGTAAAAGTATTAGATCATATGGTAGCTCTGTCTTAAAATTTTGAGGAACTGCTGAACCATTTTCCATAGTTGCTGCTCATTTTACATTTCTACCAGGGATTCATGAGAGATCCAATTTTCACACATCCTAACACTTGTTACCTTATTTCTTTTTAGGGGATGGGTGTCTGCTGGAGATTGAACTGAAGGCCCCAAACAGTGTTAAATCTGCCCTTTTTAAAAAATTATAGATTATAGCCATTTAAGTGAATGTGAAGTGGCATCTCATTGTATGATTTTGATGTGCATTTCTCTATTGATTAATGATATTGAGCATGTTTTCATTACTTACTGGTATTTGTGCAACCTCTTTGGAGAAATGATTATTTTAGTCTTTGCTGTTGAGGTATATGTCTTTAATTGTTGAGTTGTAAGACTTTTTTTATATGTTCTATGTATGTCACTTATCAAATATAAGATTTACAGGACTGGGGATTTAGCTCAGTGGTTCCGCTGCCTGCCTCGCAAGCGCAAGGATCCAAGTTCGATCCCCGGTACCAAAAAACAAAACAAAGACCAGATATAAGATTTACAAATATTCTCTCCCATTCTGTGGGTTGCCCTTTTTTCCATTTTCTTGACGATATCATTTACAGTAATATTTAGACCATCATATTTTTTAAAGTTTTTAAAGAAAAGTTTAAATTTTTGTGTAGTCTCTTTTCGTTTTTGGTCAATAGTGCTTTTGGTTTTGTATTTTAAGAAACTTTTTTTTTTTTGCTTTTTTGAGACAGGGTCTTGCTATGTAGTTCCTATTGGCCTTGAACTGACTATGTAGTTTAGGTTGGCCTGGAACTAGCAGTGATCCTACTGCCTCAGGCTCCAGAGTGCTGGAATTATAGGTGTGCACCACTACACCTGGTTTAAGAAACTCTTTACCTACTCCAAGGCCATAAAAATTTTGCTTCTATATTTTCTTTGGAAGGTTTTTTGGTTTTAGCTCTTACATTTAGATCTGTTATTCATTGTGAGTATCCAGTTGACATAACATCATTTATTATTCTTCCATTGAATTATATGAACACCATTGTCAAAAATTAACTGATTATAAACGTTTTGGATTCTTAGGCTTGGCTTGTGAAAATTACACTGGTGTTTTAAAAATTTATTTCCAGGCCTGGGGATTTAGCTCAGTGGCACTGCAAGCGCAAAGTTCTGAGTTCGATCCCCATTACCAAAAAAAAAAATAGTTGTTTCCAGCAGCAATTCCTTTTTTTGTTTTGGTATGAAATGTTTTTATTTTAGCTCAGAAATAAAAATATTGAAAAACAGTGATTAGGAAGATGTAGTTATTTTTTAAAAAAAACTTTAAGCTATGTTACGTAGAAAACTTTGCATTGCATAGAATTTCAAGCATTGTGTGGTAGTTTTAAAAATATTTATTTTTGTATTGCTTATTTTAAAATGACTAAATTTGAATAATTGCTAGAAAAAATGTTTACATGTATACATTAGCATTATTATGCTCAATTGAAAAATCCAACTGCAGACAAGTCCAGCAAGTGGCCAAATTCATATGTATATGAACTGTACATATGTAAAGGGAGGCTATCTTCTATTTATCACTGCATTCTGAATACCAGGCACTTTGTTAGATACTACATGAGTAGTATTTCTGAAAATATTAATAATTCTACATTTTCTGATGCTTACGAATATGTATTTTCTGCACACCTTTTCATCTTTCAGAGGCTACATTGCTGCTTGATTTTCTCAGGAGCAGAGAGGACATTTCTAGAAAGGCGTTATTGGCTTATCATTGTCTTCCTGTTTTATGTGCATGTTACTAAACAAGGAATTCCCAAATTGCTTGTTTTGCAAAAATGCATCTTCATGCGTTTGTGTTAGTGCTATAAATTCTTGTTATATTGCATACATGAAATGTATTTATTTTAGATCTCAAGCTGATTACTTTTTTATTTAGGAGTCTTTGTCTGAAGTGGAAGAGAAATACAAGAAAGCCATGGTTTCTAATGCACAATTAGACAATGAGAAGAACAACTTGATATACCAGGTAGATACCCTCAAGGATGTAATTGAAGAACAGGAGGAGCAGATGGCAGAATTTTATAGAGAAAATGAAGAAAAATCAAAGGTAATTGCTTTTCTTTTATCATACCATTTCCTTTTTAATACTTTCTATAATCTGGTTGATCATGAAATGCACTCCTCACTTCTAGAAACAGCAAGAAACCTGAGACTTTCATAAAAAAAGTTTGTTGCTTTATCATACCATTTTCTTGGGTCAGAAATAAAAACTTGCTATTTAAAAAGTGATGGGATTAGCCACGCACAGTGGTACGTGCCTATAATCCCTGCTATTTGGGAGGCTGAGGCAAGAGGACAGAAGGTTTGAGGCCATTGTGAGTGATTTAGCAAGACCCTATCTCAAAATAAAATTTAAAAAAAAGAGAAGTAGCTCAACCTCCCTAGATTTAATCCTTAGTACTAAAAAAAAAAATTAAATAAATTGTAGCCCACTTGGAAATGATGTATCAGTCAAAACTAAATGGTCCAAGAAAATTGGGAGAACACCATATGATATCAGTTGTTTTAAAAACTTATTTTCTTATGTCCTCCTTTAGTGTCTTGAAAACGGATTACAACTGCTTTTATCTTTATTTTCTTTCAATTGGGACAATTATAGCAAATTATTTATTTCTTCCTGTTTAAGTGGCTGGAACTACCGCAAAGCTCCAGAGGCTCTCAGTGATACAGTTCTTTTTTTTTCCCCTATGAACTTAAGAAAACCCACTTTTAAAATAAGAAGTCTTTAACCTGTTATTTTCAAACTGGTGTAGAGACATCAGTAAGAAATTAACAGATGTTTTCTTTAGAAGTTAAAGCTATATTGTTAAGATGTATAGTCAGGGTCCAGATAATTTACCCTTTAACAACTGCATAAATCACATTGTTTCTCTTAAAAGCATATTGGATTTGTCAAATACTTTTTCTCCATCTGTGGAGATAATCATATGGTTTTTGTCCTTGGCTCTATTGATATATAGTGTATTACATTGATTGATTTGCGTATGTTAAACCATCCCTGCATCCCTGGGATGCATCCCACTTGGTCAGGGTGTATGATCTTCTTAATGATCTTCTGCATTCTATTTGCCAGCATCTTATTAAGGATTTTTGCATCTATGTTCATTAGTGAGATTGGCCTATAGTTCTCTTTTTCGGTTGGGTCTTTCTCTGC